TGTTCTCTATCAGAAGTTAGAATGCTGACAAAACTTCTATGTGGGAGGAAGAACAATTTGAGAAGCTACAGAGCTCTCTCGTAACTTTTCAAGCAATAAGGTAAATGAAAAAATGTATTTATCACTAATAGCTGTGCTATTTCCCCCATTATGATCTAAATACAAACGGATAACCAGAAATGTAAAGTACTACATTATTTTGAAACAATTTCCGTACAATAAACAGATATCAAGGGATGGACCAAAGACACAATTTTAAAATGTTTAGATGTTTGTAAAAGTCAAAGAAAAAGAAGTGACTTCCCCCTCTGTAACTTGTGGTGTCACAATTTACCTCCTCTGCTAATCTAAATTTGGAAGTATGTCCATGTTTAAACTTTATTCTCTAAAGATTTAAGTCTGAATTTAAATTTCACAGAATTTCAGAGGATCTCACTAATCAGAAAACCTAGTCTTGAATGCTATTTTCTAACCTGGACAAATTCAAAATTTTCAACTGCTGGATCTATTCCTTCATAAAAATTAAAATGAGTTCAGTTAATTATCTTTTTTCAGTCACTGTGATTAAAATTAGGTCTCTTTGTAACAGTAACATCAATATCCAGGTAGAGTTTTAAGGATAGCTTCTTAAAACATTAACTACTATAATCCATTCACAGCTGGTGAGAATCATTTACTTCTCAATACAAAAACAGCAGGGACCAGCAGTTAGCGTAATGGCTATGTCACTGGACTCCCATGTAGTCGACCGTCATTGGAGTCCGTGCATGTGTGCCCAAGATCCAGAGAGGAGAATGGAGGAGAAGGGATTGCAGCGTGGCCCTCCCCCCGGGGGGTGATTTCTCACTTTCTGTCTCTCTGTCTCTGTCTGGTGAGTACACTCACCCTATAGCAAAAACCTCTTCAAAAAAAAAAAAACAAACAAAAACCAAAAACAGCACAACAACAAATACAAAGGAATTTCAAAAAGTCTGTGGAAAAACAGAATTTAAATACAAGTATAGGAGCCAGCAGGTGGTGTAGTGGTCAAGGCACTGGATTCTCACATGGCTGAACATGGTTCAAGTCCTGGACCTGGTAGCTTACTTTCTCATTTTCCCTCTTTCTCTCTCTGGTCAAATTAAAGAATAATAAATGTATGAAATTAATTCTTAAAAAAAAAACAAGTATATTTTGGTGGGAAAAAATTCTGAAATTCATGTTTGTTTGTTTGTTTATAATACACATTATCCATCAACTTTTTGAAGACCCTCCTAGTATATCAACATCTCTAAAAAGGCTTGCTAATCTATTTTCTATGCTTCTTATATTTTCTTATCTTTTTGCCTTCTGACTACATAGTAAAAGGTAGAATAGGGAACCCAAACAGTTCATGAAGTGTGAAATTTAAGAAACACTACCTTGGGCCCTACAGGTGGTGTGGTGGTAAAAGGCGCTGGATTCCTGTATAGCTGCTGGATTCCCATATGGCCAACAGTGGTTTGCATCTCAGACCTGGTGACTTGCTTTCTCACTTTCACACACTCTCTGTCTGTCTCTCCCTGGTCAAATTAAAAAAATAATAACAACAAATGGAATTAAATAAATATTTTTTTAAATAAAAAAGAAAGACTACCTTGAAATTCTTCAAAAAACCAGCTAAACACTCTTAATAAGCAGCAGAGCACAGAAAAATTATTACAAAACAGGACAGTGGAATCTGTTACTAATTTAGCTGTATAAATATCTACATATCACATAATATCTGTTTTATAGTGTTCTTATGAAAATTATCTGAAATATTTTGCTTAGAACTTTGAACAGACTTGATCAGCAAATGTTACCTATTATCATTACTTTTATTTTCAAGATTATAAATATCGTGAATTTTTTTAGTACAACAGTATGACATTTTATTTCTAGTATTATGAAAGAATAGTTTCGAATTTAACAGAAAAAGCAAACAAAAACCATTTCAACATTTCTGAGTATTTTAGATTTACCATCCTAAATGTGAACTAGTCAAAGCTAAGTTTACAAAAGAAATTACTTGTTATTGCCTATGTGGACACTAGCAAGAAAATTAACACTGCTACAATTAAATAATTTCACTATTACTTTCTAAAATCCGCTCTGTTAAATAGATTATGTTCATGCATAAGTGTATATAAGAAAGTTTTTTCATGTGAATGATACATGAAGAAACTTCACATTCTCCTCCGGGAAAGTCAGGCTTTAACAACTGCAATATTTAAAATGTTCATAAGCAGCTTTACTAAGATTAGAACTAAGTGGAGATCAGGAAATGTATCTATAGAGAATTATCTGTGAAGCAGTAGGTATTGAAAACAGTAAACCCAGGGTTAAACAAAAACCTAGGGAACTAAACACCTTATATTTTAAGAATCATATCTTCTTCAAAAGTACTGCCACTTTTTAACCTATATATAATTATACAACCTGCTTTGTATATAGAATTTCATTTGTTCCATTTAACAACTCTGAAAATTATGTAGGAACAATGTATTTGTAGATTAAGGAGGCAAGGTTCTGAAAGCTAATGTGATTTGTCGAAAACCACTGTTAGGAAGTGACAAATCAAGAATTTAAACCCTTGGCCTTCTCACATGTCATCCTCTTTCCACTACTCTATAAAGCTTCTTCTAAAGAAAGGTTAATTAGCATCTTCACAGAAAAGAAACCTCTAGGCCCAACTGCAGACTGATATAACTAGCTGCAGAGTACCTTAAGTCATCTCACCTTATCAGAGTTTTATTTTTTTAATCTGAAAAATGAGGAAAACAGATTAGCGAACCTGAAGTCCTTTCAGTTCTAAGGATAAATCCTCAAGACGGTATGTACCATTTATAGGACACAGGCATTTTATAAGTACATGTTGATAGTAACAAATTCCACGTAAGAAAATAGCGTCAACAGCTCTTAAGCATCTTATTGCAATTATTAAACAAATTCTTCATTCCTGTCTGATAGATATTACTTTAATATCTTAAATTTTATACAGAAAATAATCTAAACTTCTACAGACTAGGATGGAAATGACTATTCTCACAAATCATTCTCTTTTTACACTGAAATAATGTTCTCAAAACATAAGAATGGTTTAATGAAAGTTTACTGGTCAGCTAATATCAGTAAAGAAATAGAGTAACATTTTATAATTATTCTCCACACTTTTTAGAATAAAAATTCCTTTCTAAATACCCTCAACTGATTACAATTTCTCCAATATACCTCAGAAAAAATAATTCACATTTCCAACTTCTATGGGGAAAAAAAAAAGTTTTCCTTTTAAATTCATTCCAATGGTTGGATACCAATCTCCAGATACAATTTAAACGTTTTTCCTGGACAATTAAGGAATCAATACCAGAGACTGCACAATGTATTTTCAGCTAAATTCTTTCCTTATTTGAGTATTTTGTTCTCTTTACTCCTCAGATACTCTTCATGGACACAACTACCATGAAAAATTGTAAGGGATTAAAGATCATTAAAGGCATCCCACTTTTCACTCTAATTTTCCTTCCCTGAATACACTTAACACTCTAGTTTTCCTTCCTTTAACATCTTGCCTGTCTCTAAAATAGAACACATAGCCTGAAATAGTTAAGCCTGACACTATTTAGTAAGCAGTCAAGTTTTAGAAACTGAGTTAGTGTTTGTGTGAACTATAAAAGACCCTTAATTAGTAAAAGGCTTCCCTCGTCTATAATCTCTGGAGAAGATATTTCAAATTTTGAAGTATTTTTGCTTCTTACACAAATTAAAGACTTTCTTCAACAAGATGAATACAACTTCATCTTACACAGTCGACACTATCTCAGTTTGCTTTTAAGCCACTTGGCACTAGCAGAGCATATGTTCTGCCAGTTCTGAGCTAATCTCCAGGAAAGCCTTTGTATAATAATTGAAGAAACTGAAACAGATCGGTGACCAAGATGTTTAACGGCCTACTTGAGCATATGTTTTTAATAGTCAATTTATTTGAAAATAACTATTAGTTGTCCTTCCCTTATAATTTACATAAACCATTAAAATTAAAAAAAAATACATGACTAGGAACGCGGATTCATTTTAACTTCAGGATTAGGGATAATTCCAAAGCCTTGCAGACCACTGGGTGGGTCTGCAACACATTTCACCCGAGTTCGTAGTTTAACAGCAGTGTCCAGTGGAAATTAAAATTCCCATGACTACTCCGCTTTAAATGTTTCCTACCGTTTCAACTAGTGCAATAAACTTCCCATCCAAAACAGTTTCTTACTGTGATTATTAAAACAGCTGTCAGCTGGGCTTCAGTAACCTTTTTGTACAACCGTTTATTTAACGCTTCGGGATCCCCGGAGGATACGTCATCTCACATTACTCTTCAAAATCAGATCTAAGAACCTGACGTGCTCCAAGAGTCTTTGAACATCATTCGAAGGGGCATTTGAACGATGACGAGAACGGATTGCCCAATGCGGCAAGGATAGATTACGCGGGCACATACGACAGAATTACAGGGCGGCCGCTCTCCCTTCTGCTGAGACTTCTAAGGCAGCGATCACTCTCCCCTTCTCGTTTCAGGCACCTCTCCCAGGACCCTAGGTAGCTCTGACGCTCCCGGCCCGCAGCGAAGCGGCAGTCTCGCGCGCCCGCCAAAGCACCGCGGCTGGCGGCTGGCGCGCGCGGCGGCCGGGCGCGCCCCCGCC